CCGAGACTGGCACCAAATGCTTGTTAGGGACCCCGTGGATGAGACGTCTTCCGGCCGCCAATACATCAATACCACGATTGCCCTCGACGTAATGACCGAGGACAGTACGAGGTCTATCGCCGATAATTTCATTAAAGTCATGGCTCACCCGTCCCTCCTCGGCTGTCTCTCGGTCGGTACATATGTCGGGGAGCTGTATCACATTGCCAGCGGTGCCAATGGAGCGGCCGCCCTGGACTTTATCGCCAAGTATTGCAACGGACTCCTTTCTTCCTACGAGAGGACTCCCAAAATACATACCCTGAAGAATATCGAGGCATCTCTCCAGAGGACGTCGTCTCTGGTTGGCGAGCTCCTTCGCCGACGACAACTTGCGGCGCTTCAGGATGGTCTTACCGAGCTCTTCGTCGCCATGGACGGCGTTGTAGACCTTCTCAACACCCCGGAAATGGCGAGTAGCTACACCGTGTGTACAGATCGCATCGCCACTCTGCGTCGCATGGTCGAGTTGTCCGCTGCGCGCCTAACCGCCTTCTAATGCCGGAGGCGACAACGGATTCGGAGGTCAAAGCCAGGACGACCCTCAAAAAGTTCCCACAGCTAGCCTCCGTGCAAGCGGCTCTGAGACCAGCCGACACAGCCCGGACGCCGAGCAGCTAGCGGCTGATACTCCGCGGTCCGAGCCCGAGCCAGCGCCGTCAGACAAGGCAGATAATGCAGCCGGCTCCGCACTGGCAGCCCTCCACATTATCGTGCCGGGGCCCGGCTTACAACTACTGGGCGAGAATGCTGACGGCGCCCAAGAAGCTCCGCCATCAATGACACCCATCAGTTTTCCGATCAGCTCCGAGGACAGCAGACCAAGCTCTGAGGATAACAGATAAAAATGCGTCGAGGTAGTAGTCGACACTTTACAGGGGTTCGTCTCAACAGCGGGTAGAGGTAGTCTGGACTTCATTTTGGAAAAGGGTGGCATGGCAGGATGACCAATTCTGTATGCGAGTGTCTGCAAAGGCTTAACAGGGCGGAGATGCAGGTTAGAATTGCACTGAGCGAAAACCGCTTTACAATATTATATTCCAGCTTTTTGTTCATTGCTGGGCCTGGCGTCTCAGAAACGGAAAAAGAAGGACGACAGGACAGACGAGGACAACGAAAAAAAGATGAAGGACAATGATGAAGCGGCGGGACCCAAAAAGAGAAAGACGGGGGATAAAGGGAAAAGGGCGGAGTACGAAGGAAAAGAGGCGCTTTGCCTGTTCTGTCGGCTTCTTGTTTCTCGACGCATCTCAATAGAAGCATTCGGAGCGCTTCAAGGTTGCCACATGATCTGGCCCTCTGCCTGCAAACTTGGGAAGGGTGCTTCGGCTGGGTCATTGGGTAGAGCTCGGGCACAGCGGCCACCTCGGCCGGGTTGCCCAATTCCTTCCTAAATAGGGTAATGCCAACACCAACCGCAGATCGACCGCAACTATCAAAGAAGTCGGCGTTGACTACAGCCATAAGGATCCAAATATGGTGTCCCTCAGACTAAGGCTTATCGCTGCAAATAAATTGCTTTGCGGTCTAGGGTTGGGGTTCGAGAACCACACCGTGGCTCCTTTGAGACCATTGGTGTCTCCTCGGGAGATGTGTTACGCGACGCGCTGTCACGGGGTGATAGCAATGCCCCCCGCCGATAAGAAACCGCGCTTGTTCATCCCCCTCTCGCCTAGGCCCTCCGAACTACGAGTGGCAGGCCGGAGGGTGACAGACCAGGGAGCCATAGCGGAGGAACTCGCCAGGGCCGCCTTTCCGGAACCCACGGAAGCCTCCCCAAAGGTTAGAGGATGGGACACCAAAAAGGTCCCAGACCTACTAGCGGAAAAAGTATGCGAGGCCCCGACGCCCGAGGAAGTCCGACAATCCTTCCTTATCAGGACCTCAACAAGCCCGGGCCCAGACTGGATTACAGTTAGCAACCTTAAAGGACTGTGGGGCGCAAACCTACAGGGCCACCTGACAGCGATATGCCGCGGGGCGATTAGATTGGGGCACTTCCCGCAGGCCTGGAAACGGGCCATGGTGATCACCCTGTCCAAGGCCGGGAGGGACCACAAAACCACCAGTGGCTGGAGGCCAATCACACTACTATCAGTACTGGGCAAAGGCCTCGAGAGGCTAATGCAAAGGAGGATGGCAGTAGCGGCAGTCCTCGGCGACGCGGTAGGCAGGGACATAGCGGGGGCACTCCCCCTTAGATCGGCACAGGACCTGGTGGCATGCCTCGCCTTCGACGCGGATAGGGCAAGGCGCAAAGGAATGCACGGATTCCTCACAACCTTCGACATAAAATCAGCCTTTCCGTCAGTTAGCCGCGCGACTCTCGGGGTAGCACTATCAGCACAAGGCTGGCGCCCGGAAACCGTCGCACTGGCACAATCGTTCGTGACCGACAGAAGGTACCGCTTCAAATGGCACGACAAAATATTCCGGGCGAGCGACGGACTGCCACAAGGGTCACCATGGTCCCCCAGTACCCCTCACGATGGTACTGGCCACCCTGGTCAAAGCACCCTTTCTTCACAACCACGGGGCCACGTACACCTACATGGACGATATCGCCCAGTACAGCACCGACCGCGACCCGGAAATAGCAGCCAGGAAGGCCACAATGCGAGCGTGGCTGCTAGACGAAAACCTACGGAGGGCAGGACTACGACTGGACCCAGGGAAGACGGAGTTGCTTTATACCCCACCCGGCGGCAAAAGCTCCGCCAGGAAAGCAATCCCGATAGCAATCAGGAACCTTCACCTCCCAACCGGCCGGGTTGTCGCCAGTACCCAAGTCACCTGGCTTGGGGTGGGCTTAAAAGTGACAGAGCAACAAGGCATCACCCCCGCTGCAAACACAGCGCTAAGAATTAAAAAGGCCCAAACAATAACCGCCCTTACGAAACGGGTAAACGCGGTATACAAAGGGCTGCGGCCAGATGCAGCCAGGACGTGGTTCAAATCGGGGGTGGTCCCCACCCTTACATACGGCCTTTGGCCGCTA